TTACGAGAAAATTTCTTAACAAGTTTTATAGCCGAAGTGTCTTCTCCGTGTTTGTCGTGCGCACAGGGAAAGTTTGAACAAAATGTATTAACATATCAAATAAATTAAATAAATTAGATTAAATAAATATACTTGCCTCAAGGACTAAATTGTAATATGTTAAAATTTTTTGAAGTGAGATAAATCCTTAGAAATTATCTAATTTGAAAAACAAAAAGTAAAATTTCTAAAATATTTTGTGCGTCCCAGATGGGGTCGGATGCGGAACTGGTGTGGACTGTAACGATCGAATCTTCAATTTCGACTGCTAAATTATGTTATCGTTAGGGACCAAACAATCCAGGTCAACCCAATTGGCTTTGTCATCTATTGGGCCCGAATTGATGTCAGGCCCATCGGATTTTAGATTTTTTCAGTACGATTTTGGTCCCATGTCGCCGGCCCTGCCCGGTGCCATGTCTAAATTCCAGGACACAGTATCAAAAACTTACTAATCCTCGTAGGTAGGAATGTGGAACAAGTTTGGGCATCTGGACAGGGGCGCGATTAGATGAAATGAGTCTTGTGAACTCAGACGTTGCTCCAATTACACGACCATTGAATCCCGGGATCGATTACTTGGCTTGAGCCAAATACATGTCGAAATGGGCTTAATTACCTTGTTTTGTGATTATGTTGTACGCGATTCGTCGATTGATTTAGGAGGGTGGCTTAGTGATTCAGAGGGAGTGTGTTGGGCAGCTTTTGCATCTCAACAACACGTATCTTTTTATCGGCAGTTGCTGAAGCACTGGCCCAAAGACTGGTGATTTTTTCAGGATAGACTAGTGATTTTTTCATGATATGGTATTTTCGATGGACTCCCAAATAACTCATTGCAACATGTTTTTGAGGATATTATCGATCTTTTGTCATGAATTGTGATGCCTGTAGTCACGCTATTAGAGCAAATAATGTGATTGCTCATAACCTAGCTAAGTGAGCAATAGGGGTGACGAATTCTTTTATGTGGAAGGACTTTGTGCCGTCTTTTTTTCTCTTCTTTCTTTCGTGATGTATCAAGTTCATGACTTTGGTTGAATAAATCTAGATATTTTATTTGTAAA